TGCCATAAGACCTCTGTGACTAGAGCTGTTCAATTTACAGGTGAGACTAACCAATCCCCTTATAGATTGTTGAGACTGGCCAGTTCTCTTGTGGAATGTTAGATAGCCAATCCCCTTGTGGATAGGCTAACATGTCCCATTCACATATTCCCACCCATCTGCATAACAAAGTCAAATAATGACTAGTAAAAGTCATATTTAAAGATAAACTCCACAGTTGTAGTTGACTCAATAGCATCTAACAACAAAAACATTTTTTACACTGTAATTCTTTATCCAGCACTCCTTCCACTTCCTGTCCAAACAATTAAAGACTTCTTGCTGCTTAGTGTCAGACCCTATGTCATTATATTCCAGTGAAAACAGTGTCATATGGTCTCAAAACCTCTCTAAGCTAAATATCCAAGAGATAGAGTCTTAGGTTAAGGAATACCTAATACTTAGACATCATTCATTCTTTTAGAAGTCACATAGCTCCTCTGACATTTATGGTTATTCATTTACTTAATTTCTTTTTCAAGGCAGGAGATGAGAGAGAATGATACCACCAAACATATTAATTCTCTGGATAGTCATGGAAGTTAAATTTGGCAAGAGTTGTGAAGATTCTTACAGAGCATCCAGTTAAAACATTAAAACAAGGCTGGGTTCTGGTCTGGAGAGGAGTTGGAATGTTTATGCCTAGTTAAAGTTGAACCCACTTTTCAAGTTTCCAGAAGGGTCAGAACAGAGTCAGAAAGATGTATGTGAAATGAGATCCAGGGGGAGGGAAAGCTATCAGAAGCATCTGCAAATTTTAAAAGGTTTCTCTTGTTCTGCAGATTAACATCACCGTAGGAGTATCCTTGAATTTCATTGACTGGAGCTAAATGTTTTGTTTTAAGCACTTTGTGTAACAGGGTGTGGAAATTTAAGTGCTAACATTCAAGTTGGAAGTTAATGCCCAGAAAGATGAATGGAAGAGCTGCCAGTAGGCTAATACTCCTACTTCAGACTAAAAAACAAAACCTGCAGTTGATTTCTTTGCATGTAGGATTTCTTTCTCAGCTCCAATTGTAAGGACCTATGTCATACTTTTCTAGCTTTTTCTCAAAACTGAAAATATAGCGCCTAGGGTCACAGTTACCTAAGCTGAAGACAAATTCTGAGTGGGGTTCTATTGATCTGCTTTTCATGTTCAAACCCGCTGCCTTGTAAAGGATCCCCAGCCAGGTAGAATCCAGACATATTTCTGGCCCTGAATTTTCCCCCATCTATCTTTTAACTTAGTCTCTTATCTTAACCTAGATTCTCTCTTACCCTAATGAATCAGCGAAGACATATCTTTCATTCTGCAAACCGTATCAATTTATAAAAACCTGGTGAAAAATCCAGAAATTCCCCCAAATTAAAACACCTGACTGACTAAAACATAGATATTTGTAGCCTGGAAAGATATTCCCACTTAGTTCTGGTTTAGATTTAAAAAGAGAATAATCCTGTCACCATTAATATAAAACCTATAACAATAAATTTGAGTATTTAAGTACTAGAATATCAAGTGTTTAGGAGTTGATAATTTAATTTCTTTGTTTCATCAGTGCAGATGGAAGACAATAGTCCGAAAACAGTAATTTCTCTCTACTTAGAGTTTCAAAATCCTTCATCATTTGGGACACTCAACAAAGGAGGGTGGGAGATTTGAGAATGAGAACTTAATAGTTCTGTTATCTTTTTTCTAACCTTTTCTATTTAAAACGTGCTCTGCTGGCTTTGGGAGCTCTGTTAGCCTAAGTGGATAAGAAGTTGTGCTGCCAACCCAAAGCGGGAAGGTTAAATACACCAGATGATCTGCAGAGAGCAATTTGCCACCTCTGAAAACCCTTAGAAGAATCCACCAACCTTGCAACTAATAACTAAGTATAAATAGTTTGCATTACCCAGGAACATATGAGTAACTTACTTTAAAACCAAGGGGGAGAAATATACTCTCCTCCTGTGCAATATTCAGCCTCTGCAAACCTACTGGAGAGTCAGCTATGCATCAATTCTGTCTCGATGGTCCTCAATGGTTCAGGGTATGTGTATATAAACTGACCCACAAAGCCTGCCCACTTGTAGCGTACTAATTTTGGACTGTTTCTCTAAAGCTATTATCTTCGCTAGAGTTCTTTGCACTTTTTTCTAAATCTTGTCTAATTTCTTCCCCCACCCCAACTTTTCCAGACTCATTCACAGATGACCAAGATGCCCCAAGGGCTGACTTGGTGTCCAAAACATTCGAACTCCTGGCATTCCTCTCTTGACACATAGTTGAGCATCATTTTCAGAATTTTACTTAAGTATCTTAGTTAAGATATATCCCATAATATTTGTGGAAATCACCCTGTTGCTGTGGTGGTGGTGCTGGTAGTAGTAGCAGCAGTGTTCTGCTGTTACTGTTGTTGTTGTATTGGTGGCCATCTAGTCATTTCCCACTCATGGTGACCACATGTGAGCAGAATAGAACTGCTTACATGGACCTTCAAATCTGTGACGTTTCAGAAAGAGATTATCAGGGCTTTCTTCACAAGTGCCTCTGGGTGGGTTTGAACCACCAGCCTTACAGCTAGTGGTTGAGAATCTTATTATTTGTATCACCCAGGGCAGGGATCCTCAAGATGAACAAATAAAGGACTTGTGAGAATCAAGCAATGCATGTGTTTTAACACCATTCTTCTCTCCTCCTTTCTTTCTCAACTCCACCCATCACCTTGGTCAGAACAATCAACATGTGATTTATCCCTTCCAGTCCCAAATTGTCAACTTGACCCACCTCATTTTGGCTAATTGCCCAGATTTCTTATATCAGCATTACATGTTTGTTTTCTTTCTCACTCACCTTTACCTTAAACAGTCTACCCAATCATTCTTCCTAATTGCTGCCCTGGAATGTGGTTTAAAGCTAACCTGAAATAATCCATCTGTCTTGGTGGAGATTGAAGATACCAACTCTGGAAGCAAACTACTAAAGTTAGTGACCTCTTAAGTCTCCTTTTTGTTCTCGAAAGAAAGAAAGAAAGAAAGAAAGAAAGAAAGAAAGAAAGAAAGAAAGAAAAACCACTCTGCTCTTAACACAATATAAATGCAGATTATATGGCCAATGATAATTGATAATGAAAAAAAATTTAAGACACTAGCTCTTTTTTCAGACTTAAAGGCAAAATTTATGACCAAGCCCTCAATTACATTTCTTCTGTTCTAAAAAAAATGCCCACAGAGACAATTCTTGGACTTATTAATTACATAACTTACATCTACTCATAGTAAAAAGACTAGAAAAATACTGATAAGAAAAAGACTACCAATCATGTATAAATCTTTCCCTCCAGAGATTATCATTAGCACTTTAGCATATATTCATCTAGTATGTTTAATTATCTAAGCCTAAGAAGAAAGAATATTCTGGAGTCCAGTTTTACATGAAAGAGCTTGGGCTGGACTGGGACATTTGAGAAGAGAGCTATCTAAAGCACATCTATTTTCCCTGGCTTAGAAGAGTCCAAACAGGCCATAAAACTATGTGATGTTTGGGGTCAAGAACAGTTTATCTCTCCTGTTATTTAATTTGAGTGTCAAGACAAAGTGTCTAAGTTCAGCAGAGATAAGTTACATTCTGGTGGGCAGAGGCATTCTTTATTTGCTGGATAATGAAGATGCACTTTACAATGTATTGGTGAGTTTGGAAAGCAAGCACTGGAATGGATCCAAAAGGTGCAAATTCTCCTAGAAAAACTACATTGGTATGCTGGCAACATCAGGCTGACCTTGATCAAAATTCTTTAAAGTATCTTATTTCCTCTTGAAATTACTCTTATTTTCAAGAAGTCGCAACATGTATTAATTATTAAATCGATTTAAGCAAATTTCCTCATGTATATTTGTACCAAGAAGCAGGGCTATTTTCCATGGTTCAAACAAATAATGCCAACTTAACTTCTTTCAGAGGTTGGGTATTTTGGGGGTTTTTTTCCCGTCTTTTGACAATTTAAGAGTTCTTTTTGGATTTGTTTTGGTTTGGGTTTTTGTTGTTATTGTTTTTTTGGTTGGGTTTTTTTTTTTTCCTTATCAGAATTTTCTCTGGCATCCCCATAGCTAATTATCCAAATTTGCAAATAATTGCTTGTATTACTGATACTTGATGCAGATGCACCTATTCCTACCTCCAAAAATATAGCTTTGCAGTAAAGATCTGTTTCAGGAGATGGAAAATTTGGCAGTGGGGACTGGTGTTGATTGTACAGAATGAGCAGTGCAGTTGGCATCACTAAAATGTTATCTTTCCCCCTACAATGTTAAGAAATTAAATGTTAGACCGAAACATTTCATTTTCGCTTTTTCCAAAACATATAATCTGCAAATAAATGTTCTCAATATTCTTTCACATGTCATGTTGTTGTCAGGTACGTCAAGTGGAGTATAACTCATAGTCACCCTATGAACAAAAGATCAAAACATTGCCCTGTCCTGTGCCATTCACCATCTGATATACTGAAGCTCATTTATTGTAGTCACTGTGTCAATCCATCCTGTTAAGAGTCCTTCTCTCTTTCTCTAAGCCTCTAACTTTCCCAAATATGATGCCCTTGTCCAAAAACTGGCCCCTCTTGACAACATGCCCAAAGTATGTGAGACAAAATTTCACCATCCTTGCATGAAAGGAGCAAGCTGCTTGCACTTACTCTAAGACATACTTGTTTATTCTTTTCACAGTTAATGGACTATTCCAGTAGTCTTCTACAACACTACCTTTCAAATTGTATGTAGTACATAATTTTTAAAATGAAAGAAAACAGGTTAATGCAAACAGCCCTTAGTCTAAGGCTGGGAAAGGCATAGAATGAAGACCTCCTAGCATCCTCCTAGCATAGAAATAAACAAAATTGTTAAATTCCTCTAATTAACTGTTTGTGTTCTACTACCTTAATTTTTCATGACCAAATGTCCAATGTGCTTGTTTTTTCTTTCCTTTTCACTTTTAGCTCAGCCATAAATTCCCAGTAAAAGTGCATATGGCACATCAAAAACCCAGACCTGCCCTGGAGAAGGTCGCTCCACTAAAAAGGATCTACATTATTCAGCAGCCTCGAAAATGTTAAGCCGAGACATAAAACACAGCCGTCTGGCCAACTGCCTCAAATATCTGACAGCTTAGCAGAAAGGACCAAAATTTTCCACAGCTTTTAGTGCACTCGATTGGTAAATAAAACCCTTTTGTACTATCCCTTTTGACTATAGATAATAAAACATTCATAATTATAAATCTGTCGTGTTCCTATACCTCTCTTTTGGTCTGGATCAGGATTCCTGTGACATTTGCATATGTAATTCTGTGGACTAAACAGAGAATCTAAACTCCCTGCTATTCAAGCCCATCTCCTGAAGTTCTGTCCACACTGGGTTCTCTGTTGAGGCACAGCTTACAGAGCAACACACTGAGTTTTTGCCAAGGCCAACATTCTGTATAAACATAAGCAGTGACTCTCCCCAGGGTACTTGTCTTAAGATGTTTCTGTCTTCATTTGAGGTGGCATATCTCATCCAGTTCCTTACATAATTTGTTGTGAAGGTTTGGTGGGGAAAATTAAAAATACAATTTTTGTTTTGTTTTTTTACAATTTTTTTTAGGAACCATTTCTCTTTGACAAAGCAGTTAAGGCTAGTAGAATTATTGCTTCAGTAGATCAGCTCAGGACCTCCAAAAAAAAAAAACCCAAAAAAAACTAATGCTCTAGTACTGAGAGGTCATAATACAATAGGGCATTGTGAATAGTGTTGACACTAGTTTTTTTTCTATAATTATATTTTATTAATTTTCATAAACATTTACAGAGATTTTGGGTTTCCATTCATTCACCGCTGCACCATTCTCTCTA